TGCATAGAAGTAATGCCTCAACTTCTGAGCTATCCATGTCAAAGCACAACAGGTACGTTCTGTCAAAGAGTACCGGGCTTCGTAAGGCGTGAACTTCTTGCTCATATAATATATCGCCTGCTCCTTTCTTCTAGTTTCATCATGTTGTCCCAGAACGCAACCAAAAGCTCCGTCCAATATGGACAAATAAAGCAGCAGAGGTCTTCCTGGTTCTGGTGGGACTAGAATGGGTGGTTAAGATAAATACTCCTTGATTTGTCAAAGGCTTTCTGGCATTCTTCAGTCCAGTTCGTTGCAGCATCTTTCCTCAGCATCCTGACTGTCGGCACACATATCACGGTTGACTGTGCTATGAAACGACCGATGTAATTGAGACGCCCTAAAAAGCTCATCACATCTTTCTTATTCTTCGGAGGTGGCAAGTCCTGGATTACTTTGACTTTTGATGGGTATAACTCAATCCCTCGGTGACTGACGATGAATCCTAACAACTTTCCAACAGGGACTCCGAAGGCACACTTTGCAGGATTCAGCTTTTGATTGTACCTTCGAAGCCGATTGAAGAATTTCTTCAGGTCCGCTATATGATCCGTACTCCTTTTAGATTTGATGATAACGTCATCCACGTACACCTCTATTTCCTTGTGTATCATGTCATGGAAAATGGTTGTCATAACTCTCATGTAGGTGGACGTCATCATTTTGTAACACTATATCCCCCACGGTGTAATGAAGGATGTCTTTTCGGCATCCTGTTCAACCATCCAGATATGGTGGTATCCTGTGAAGCAATCCACAAAGGATTGGAGTTCATGCTTGGCACAGTTGTCAATCAGCATGTGTATATTGGGTAATGGGAAATCGTCTTTGGGACTTGCTCTGTTTAGATCTCGGTAATCAACACATACTCTAACTTTCCCGTCTTTCTTCGGAACTGGCACAATGTTGGCCAACCAAGTCGGATATTCGACCACTCTAAGAACCTTGGCTTTGCTTTGCTTGGTGACCTCCTCTTTTATCTTCAAACTCATATCCGGCTTGAACTTTTTGAGTTTCTGCTTTACCGGTGGACACATGAGATTAATGGGTAGCTTGTGAGACACTATGGATGTGCTCAAACCAGTCATATCATTGTAGGACCATGCAAAGACATCTTCATACTCTTTTAGGAATATGGTGTACTCTTCCTTCTCTGACGGTGATAGGTGAATGCTTATGCGTGTTTCCTTGACTGTTCCGGAATCCCCTAAGTTAATGGTCTCGATTTCCTCCAAATTAGACTTTGGTTTGTTTTCAAAGTTTTCCACTTCTCTAATGATTTCCTTAGGTGTTATATCATCTTGCAGATCCTTTGAATCACTATCCTTATGTTGCATTGTCTCATTACATGTCACAATCATAGGTTCCTCGGGATAGGTAAAAATAATGCTGTAAAGAAAATATAAAGAATGATAATAAATACGAAAAGTAGTAATGCATTAATAAAATATTAAAATGTCAACAAGTGCGGCTCGATGACTCGAGTAATTATTTCAAAACAAAATACTGAAAATGAGAGGGGTGTTCGAAATTAAAAAGGGAAAGGGAAAAAAAATCTTACCTGTGCGCGATCGGGTCGCCTCGTGCACGGCCGCGCAAGTATGGTAGAACATAAGTGAAAGTGCACGACCAGGTGCAAAGCTGCGCACGTTTCGCCTCAGCTGACGTTGCCTTTTGCGCGACCAAATGTGCGAGGTGTTCCCCCCCCTCCCCAGGTGCGCGGTCGCGCACATATACATTCAAAAGGGCTCTTTTAGACACCTCACTTCCTACCTTCCGCGACATGTACCTTCCTGCACCTACCACATCATAATATACACTACTTTCTCTCTATTCTACGCTATAAACAAAAGTGAAAAATCTAAATAGTAGAAGAGTTAAAGGTAGTTCTGAGTTATAGTCGTCAGCTTGACTCAACCGAGCATCCTCAACTGATTTTGATGCTCAAGGATTGCTTAGCAAATCCTCCAGCAAGATACTGTTTTAGTATGTACCCATAGAATTGAAATTACCACCTCCTTGGCAGTTGCCTCTGTTGAAGTTCCCCACAGCGTTGACTTCCTCAGCTGTAGCTTAACACTCATGTGTCGGGTGTCCCAATCCACAGATGTCACATCCCATCTGTGGTTGATTTTGCACATGAGCTAGTGTCAGTTGCTTGATGTCCTTAACCATAGCTACAATTTGGGCCTGCGTTACAATCGACGATTCTACTTGGTGCACCCCTGCTGATCTCGGTCCCCTTGATCAATGGACCATTGTTCTGCGTCTTCACATAGTTCATACAATCTCTTCTGGAGTTTTTTTCATTAGAGGACGTACAACTGCACTATTCAGCGATATCCTTGATGACGGGTTTAAACCGTCCCAGAAGTCCCGGAGTTGCATACATTTCTCCATTCCGTTATGAGGGCACCTCCGCAATAGCTCCTTAGATCTTTCCCATGCCTCGAACACTGTCTCCCCTTCACCTTGGCTGAAATTGTGAATCTCTTTCCTCATTCGTCTAGTCTTAGCGGCAGAGATGTATTTTTCTAAGAACTTGGTAGTCATCTCCTCCCACGTATGGATTGGCCCTGTGGACAGACTTCTCAACCATTGCTTTGCATCATACTTATGTAAGAACAGGAATGCTCTAAGGTAGATGGCATCATGTGATGCTCAATTATAACGGAATGTGTTCATAATTTCGTCAAAGTTCATCAGATGATTATTGGGATCTTCATTGGGTTTTCCTCTGAATATGAAATTGTTCAGAATGGTTTGGATGACTCCCTGCACGAGTTCAAAATAATTGACATCAATGGGTGAGGGTCTCACACTAGACTATTGTTGGTTGTACACCGGTCTAGCATAATCTCCTAGCGATGTCCCAGGCCTAGGAGCTGCATTTTCAAATTCATCCTCGATCATGTTTTGTCTGTTGAACCTTCGATCCCCGTCAACTATTTTATTTGCAATTCTACGGGCTGCTTTAGCTTCTAATCGTGCATCCTGTTGCTGAGCCGCCTCTCTCGCAGCTAGGTCCACTACCTCTTCATTGTTCACCATTTTATTTTGAATTGAAGGCTGACCCAATAACAATCCACACAATCATTTCTCTCTTCTCAATTACCTTGGGTGCTTGCCTAACTCTGGGTCGTATGGCACTAAGTCCTTTGAAGAGGATCGAGTCATACACCGCTGAACTTAACCTGTTGCCTGCACACAAATGAGAAAAGCGTAAAAAAAGGAAAATAAAAAAAAGTAGTTCCTAAATTAGAACTGAAAATTAATTGAAACACTATAAATCGCCAATCCCCGGCAACAACGCCAAAATTTGATGAGCGCAAAACTGGTGTACAAATCATAGGCTCGCTTGTCAAAGATAGTATAGTATTTAATCGTCTCTGCAAGGATTGGTTTAAATAATATTCTAATAAATCTTCAGCTCAACATTATCGAGGATAATAAACCTTTGATTGATGTTATTATCGACTATAAATAAGACTCAGATTATCTATTGTAATAAACTAATTGCACTTTAATGACTAAGTAGCAACGATTAAATATCAGGGTGAGAAATAAGGGTTGTGACAAGATATGTGATCAACTATTGTTCCGGGTAACTCTAGGTTAAGTTCATTCTTAACTTCTATTGACTCCTCTGATTTCAACAGATGATTAGGCTACCTTAGGGATACAAATTCCTCTTCCAAATGAATGAGAGTTCCCTTAATCAACCTAATAACAGGTCATATGAACACATGCGCAAACATAGTGTATGAATGATCCTTCGAAGAACACCTCTCGATTATTCTTCCAAACTGGGTTAATTGATAACTTTCTAAGCTTTTTCGATTACCTAGAAGAGGCGTAAAATCAACACAAACAACATGGCACAATGCAAATTGCAGCAACACTTCTCTTTCGATTAAAGTAAAACCACAATAAGCCTTGCAATTCAATTAATAACTCATTCAATAAATTCGGGCAATTAACAGAGAGTAAAACCCAAAATGATAGTTAAATCACAACATCCGTCAATAACCCTAAGAAAGATTACTCCATAATGGAGAAAGTACTCATCGCAAGAGTATTAGAAGAACAAGAAGACATTACAATTCCCAAATTCAAACAAACTTCCGTATTGAATGAATTGGATCAAGTATTTTGCGTTTCTGTTGCTTCCTTCCTTCTTCTCTCCCAAAAGTTGCTCTAAAAATCCAAGATACCCTCTTTTTAGACGAGTTGGGCTTCATATAGGTCAAGAGGAGTCGCCTCCGAAATTACGAAAATAGGCTTGGGAAAGTTTTCGGACTGGACGTGCGCGGCGGCGCACATAGGCATGTGATCGCGCACTTTGGACAGTGTTCTGCTCTACTTGCGCGCCCAGTGCGCGCTTGCGCACCTAGGTGGCTTCTTTCTCAATTCTTCATTTCTCTCGTTAAGCTCACTAATGTCCGTTGATCCCCGAACACGATCCCAGCTTAATTCTTGGGCTTTTACTCAGACTTCAAAGCTCCAGAATAGCTCGAATTAGCTCCAAAACCTCATTGTAACTCGGAATCACTCCTACAAAGCATAAAACACACATTCAGTGCAAAATAATACCATTTAAAGATCAAACACTAGTAAAGTGCAGCGAATTAGAGTGCAATTAATGGCCAAAATACTCAATTATAGCCTACGATCAATTTCCCAGAAGATGAAAGAAAGCATGCTCGAGTTCCAAGCAACCACATGAGAAGATGTCCATAACCTCTACTAATCAAAGATAAGGATAGAAGATGATCAGCTCGAGTTCCCGACACCAACCAAAGGTCGGGATCGAGAAAAGAACAGGTAAAAATCAGCAGAAGACTTTGATGCAGATCGGCAGTCTTCTAAGGGTTGTTTCTTGCCTTACGAGAGGGCCGAAGGACGCAACATCAAGGGATTACATTCGGTGGATAGGTTCTCCCCCGATAGAAGGTTTGACCATGACCGAAACAACAGGTCGTTGCAGGACAAAGAGGTATCGAGTTCCCGGGATTCCACTATCCCAGGCTGTTCGAGTATAATTTCAATGTCAGCATAGTGGAGCTGGTATCAGTGATGAAGAACATCAAGGAAGCACGGTTACCGAGGAAGATAAGATCTGATCCCACTCAGAGGGATCCTAATTTATGATATAAATATCATGGGACTAATGGCCACCAAACTGGGGACTTCCGACATCTGCTCGAGGAGGTAGCAACACTGTTGAAAAATGGCCAGCTCAGGGAATTCTTAAGCAACCGGGCTAAGAACAGTTATGGCCGCAGCCGAAATAATACAGAGCCCTCGAAGATAGGGGAAGACCCTCCTCGGCTAACTATCAACATGATTTTCGGGGGGAATGAGATTTACGGTGTAACCTTCTCGGCACCGAAAATGACAAAGGTGTCGGTGACTCATAGCAAGAGACTCCGGGAAGACGCCGAAGACGACATCACCTTCATAGAAGAAGACGCCGATGGACTCCTTTTGCCATGCAACGATGCCCTGGTAATTTCTCTTAACGTTCTAGATTTCAATATTAAGTGTGTTTTGGTAGACTCAGGAAGTTTAGTCAACGTCATTCAATGGAGAGTGCTGGAACAAGCCAAGCTAACCGGAAGCATCATTCCGACAACAAAACTCCTCGCCGGATTCAACTTAGCAAGTGTGACGATCCGGGGGGAGATCTTGTTGCCCACGAACATCGAAGGGGTCATGAAGACTACCTTAGTTGCAGTGGTGGACAACGAAATGGGCTATAACATAATTCTCGGTAGACCATGATTACATGAGATGAAAGTCGTGCCATCAACATATCACCAAACGCTGGAATTCCTACCCCAGAGGGAATCAAACAAATAAGAGGGGATCAACCGGCAGTAAGGAAAATGAATGCGGTATCGGTTTTCAGCAGTAAAGGGAAGGAACTCAACGCATAGTAATTACAGGAACCGACGCCTGCTCTCGAGCCAAGTAAAGATGATAAAGGGGAGGTGTCGTCGGAACCCCACCAGGTACCAAGATAATTTCAGGTACCGGAAGAGACAGACGCAACCAAATCTACAGCGGAAGAACTCGAACAAGTGGCCTTGTTAAAAAAATTCATGGAGAGAAAATTCCACTTGGGGACAGGCCTCAACCCTGAGCTCAAGTCAGAATTTATTGATTTTCCTAACATTAACATTGATTGTTTTGCATGGTCGCACGCGAATATGACAGGTATCCCGATAGAGGTGGTCGTGCACAAGCTAAGCCTGGACCAAAGTATCCCACCGGTAAGGCAGAAAAAGCGCCCGATAGTCGAGGTCAGAAACATGTTTTTCAAAGAAGAGATAACTCGACTACTTGACATCGGTTCAATCTGGGAGGTAAAGTATCTCGACTGGCTAGCTAATATAGTTGTTTTTCCGAAAAAGAATAATAAATTTCAAACGTTCGTAGATTATAAGGACTTGAATAAATCGTGCCCAAAAGACTCGTTACCACTGCCAAACATCGATAAATGATCGAAGCCACACCTAGGCATAAGTTAATGAGTTTCCTTGATGCCTATTCCGGGTACAACCAAATAAAGATGAACTCGGAAGATCAGGAAAAAACTTCGTTCATAATGAACTTTGGCACATATTGTTATAATGTGATGCTCTTCGGGCTCAAAAATACTGGAGCCACTTATCAGAGGCTCATGAACAAGATGTTCGAAAAACAAATAGGTAAAACAATGGAAGTGTACATAGATGATATACTGGTCAAGTCTTTGAATGCAGGTGACCATTTAAAATACCTCCAGGAAATATTCGACATCCTAAGAAAGTATCATATGAAGCTCAACCCCGAAAAATGTGCATCCGGAGTTAGCTCCGGTAAATTCTTGAGTTTCCTGGTGTCACAAAGAGGGATCAAAGTCAATCCCGATAAGATCAAAGACATTGAGGACATCCTAGATCAACCGACAAGCGTAAAAGAAGTCCAAAGGCTATTCAGAAGATTGGCCGCTCCGAGCATGTTTATTTCCCGGTCTTCAAAAAAAATGTCATCACTTCTTCTCACTTATAAAGAAGAAGAACAACTTCGAATGGACTCCAGAATGCCAACATGCTCTAAAAGACCAGAAACGATATCTATCGAGCCCTCCGTTACTAGCAAAATTGGAGGAAGGCGAAGAATTGCTAATATACTTAGCAGTCTCGGAGGTAGAGGTAAGTGCTGATAAGTGGGGATTTTGACTACTTATTAGCACCTTTTAGCTTTTATTTAGTCCAAATGTGTTTAATTGTATTCCCGAAAATTGATATAATATGTTTAATTGCATGAGTATTGGAAAATGAGCCACAAAGATGAAACCCAGCTCAAAAAGGAGTGACCTGAACTCAAGGACAAAAAAAATCAAGCACAAAGGCTTAAAGTGCGGGCCGTAGAATTACATCTGCGGTCGCAGAATGTGAAGGAAATCCATCAGAACCCAAGTGCAATGTGCAGACCGTACAATTATTGTGCGATCGCAGAAGCTACCCAAGAGCAAAAGTTCAGAGAGTGTGCATATGAGGTTCAAGCAATGTGCGGACAACACAATTATTGTGCGCCGCAAAAGTCAGCCATGAGGCCGCATTCAGAAATTTTTGGTCCGCAGAAAAGCACTGTGCGTCCGCACCAAGATTTGTGCGGACCGCAGAATTTGAGAGATGTGGCTGCATTCCAGAATTGTGCGGCCGCAAATTCTACTCCTGCCCAAGTCTGAAGAAAAATGCGGACCGCACATGGAATTGTGCGGCCGCAGAACCTCCGAAAAGGCATTTTTGTCCGAAATTTCCAGCTTTGTATAAATAGAATAGTTTCATGAATTTAGGTCAAGTTTTGAATATTGGAACTCATATAGCCGTCTTTCCTTACTGATTTAGGTAACTTTAGCTTACTTTGGTGATTTAACATTGGATTTTTATCTTATAATCTTTGAATATGAGTTTTATCATCTTTTCTATCTTGTTTCCTTCCATGCCCATTATGAGTAGCTAGATTCTTAACTAGGGTTATGACCCAACCCTAGTGGGTAAACCTAATGGGTGTTTAATTTATGGCTTGTTAATGGTTGGGTATTTATTATTTAGCCTTGTTCTTGCTTTTTATTGTAGAATTACTGGTTGCAAACATTAGGTCATGCCTATTTGACTTGGTCTCTACTTGAGAAAGAAAGACTTAGTCTAGGAAAACTTGGCTAACAAGAATTTGGGATGAAAACAAGAGATTGATAGTCCCAATTAGAGGGTTGAACCTAGAGATAGTAAAACCCAACTTGAGCATTTTATCAACTGTTTGGTTCAATACCCATTTGGATTTGATAAAGCCAAATTGGGCAAAATCACTTTCTTACCCAGAGGTATTGAGTGGGTAATTGAGTATTGATAATATATCCCGACCAACGAAACAAGCTTTAAAGTTTATAACCCGTTAGGCAAACATCTAGGTGAAGGTCATAGCCCTAGGCCTTTTATAATATTTGAAAACAACAACAAAAGCACAATTTCTTAGTTTCAATTATTTGTATTACAATCTTAGTTTAATTTAGACCTAGAAACAACCATATTTGTGGAAGTGCAATCTAGATACTTCGCGTGCTTAGTACAAATATATACTACTTTATCCCATTCATGTAGCTCCTTATGGAATTCGACCCCGACTCTTAGTTGGGTATTACTATTGAATCGACCATTTCATAACCTCCAATAGAGGTGTGACTTGGATGAGATAAATTTTTGGCACCATTGTCAGGGAGCTAAAAACGGATTTAGCTATATATTTGGTTTTGTGTGTGAATTGTCTTCTTTTCCTTTCGGGTTACTAATCTTTTTTGTGAAACAATTGTAGGTGAAACAATGGCTCTCAACAACAATGATCCTCTTGGAAATATGCCTATGGGGGATTTGTACGTGGAAAATTATCAAGTTGAAGAGGTTCCCCTTGAACCTCAAGCAAATAGACGAGGCCGACCGCCTCAAGACAATGTTCCTGTTCCGCCCCCACCTCCACCAAGAGCGACTACACATTGGGTGTTGCGGAATAAAGGGTATGCAAGTGCTATTGTCCCGTCCTACATTAGGGCGGGCAACTTTCAAATCATGAATGTAATGCTCACATTGTTAGAGCAACGGTTATTCTTCACTGGGGCTCCGAGTCAAAATATTTACAAGCACTTGAAAGGGTTTGTAGACACTTGCTGGGGGAGTAAACAGACAAATGTCTCCAAGGATGCTTTAAGGTTGAGGCTATTTCCCTTCTCTTTACGGGAGAAAGCCTTGGATTGGCTAGAAAGATTGCCAAACCATTCCATCCATACATGGGATGAACTGACGGAGAAATTTATTTCCAAGTTCTTTTCCCATGCATATGGATACTCTTAGAGATGAGATTCTAGCACTCAAACAAGAACCCAACGAGCCTTTGCATGAGATATGGGAGAGGTACTGAACAATGGTCAAAAAGTGCCCCAATAATGACACGACGGAGCCTATTATTCAACAAAATTTCTATAGGGGGATCAATACTACTAATCAATGCATGGTTACCAACTCGCCGGTGGAAATTTCATGACAAAGCCATGTGCGGAAGCTTGTGAGATCTTAGATGAAATGGCGGATACTTCATCGGCATGGTAAAGTAGAGCAAATGTTCCTCAAGGTGATCCAAATGTGATTCACCTACATAAAGAATTGCATGATCATGGTCAAGTGCCGAGTTGATCACTACAATGAATCAATTAGCCAAGGCTCAACTTCAACAAGTACAAGGTCCTAAGCAAGTCAATGCCATGGAGTGTGTTAATATGTTGGTAAACAAGAGAAGGCAAAAGGGTCCACAGGTGCAAAATCGTGTGGAGAATTATATGCAAGATGATAGTGGGTTTGATGAAGATGAATCTTACAATGAACAAGATGAGGAAGTGCAATATGTGAACAACTTCCAAGGGCAAAGAAACAACTCTCAAGGCCCAAATCAACAACAATGGCGATTTCAAGGCAACCAAGGTAATTGGAATGGTGGTAACAACCAAGGGAATTGGAACAATCAAAACAATCAAGGAAATTGCAATGGTCAAAATAACCAAGGCAATTGGAGTGGAAATAGTCAAGGACATTCGGGAGGTAACAACCAAGGAGGGTGGAACAATAACACACGCAATCGGGTGTCGGGCTTTCAAAGACCTCCGATGTATCAACAACCGAGCAACCAGCCTCCTTATCATTCCCATGCTCCAAGCTCTTCCAAGAATGAGATGGGACGAATTTAGAACATGTTCAAACAAATTATGGAGAAGAATGCCGACTCTGATGCCCAACTAGCCTCTCCAAAACTTCAATCCGCAATTTGGAAGTTCAATTAGGGCAAATCTCGCAAGCTTTAAACACTCGTCCTAAGGGGGCACTACCAAGTGACATGGTGGTGAACCCAAAGGGTGGGAACAACACCGTACATGCCATGACCGTTACTACAAGGAGTGGAAAAGGTGGGAATGCACCCACCTCAAATCAAAGGAAACTTGTGGATGATGAGCAAGTGGTACAGGAAGATAAGATTCTGGATAATGTAGTGCAAGCAAATGATGAAGCGCGGATTGAGATTGATGAAAATGTGGAGGAGTCTCAAGAGGAAGTGAACCCGTCTAGGGTGCATATTGTTTACATATCGGAATCGATAGTACCAAAGGCTAAGGCACCAATGCCTAGGCCTCCTTCTCCATATCCTCAAAGGCTTGCCAAGCAAAATGGCGAGAACCAATTCAAAAAGTTCAT